TTAGTTTGATCTGTGAGAACAGCTTCCAGTGGCCATCATACACTGTCCTAAGCAAGAAACAGGTGTAGCAGGGATAGCACCGTTCCGACTGCGCTGATACAAGCAAAGGCGAGAGGAAAAGAGCGGTGTTAGTGTTCTTTCTTTTCTCTTTTACGTCATTTTTCTGGATTTTTTCGGTCAATTTTTAAATATTTTCAGATCATCAAAATCCGGGCCCTGGTAATGACTAAGCACTAAAGCACCAGAACAATGTCCTCGCCTGAGGAGTGCAGTGTTCCTTCTCCATTTTGGGGCGGAACTGAGATAATACACTTTCCTAATTCTCCTTACTTTAATAAGTTCCAAAAGTTCGTGGCGATATATTGATACAATTATTGTGTTTCCGGACATTATCCATCGTCCTGGTTTTATTTAAAACACATAACGTTTCGGAGCCTGGATTGTGTCTGCGTATTCAAGTGGATCCTTCTCAGTTGGTCCCAATCGATAGAGCAATTCCCTATCTCAATATCTCCGCCAATCAGTTCGTCTTTGCGTCAAGACCCTAGAGGCTTACCATCAGAATATGTCTACATGTTTAAATATTATGTGCACATCTAAGCTTTGGTTTAGCAAGTGGTACCTTTCATTAAGTTATTCAGTATGCATTTTGCACCTCCCCCGGCGTACTCGATGTCACGCCTTTGAAACCCTCATTTCTGTAATCGCCCTGAACATGCTAAATGAGGAGTATAATTCATTAAGCTTCTCTTTGTGTAGTTATCTCCATTAACGTAAACTTCACTTTATTAGATTCATGTATTTTCCTCAGCCTACTATGCTCATGTGCTCCCCTTGTATGATTCTCCCTGGTGTTGAGAGTGTAGGGTTCATGTCTAAGTGTTTAGTCTGAGCTGTAGTTTCGCGCATTTTAGTCGTTCTACTACCACGCGTCTGTAGGTTTAGGACGTTAAACAATATTTTAACATCGACTGTCATTCTCATTGTTGCATTTTCCGCAGAAACAAATCCTTGCGTCTCATTCTCAATTACTGTATAGTACTTATGTAGCTTACGCACGTCTGTAGAGAACTTGGTACACCCCTTGCTCACCACTGAGACCCACTTGTGGAACATGAGTGAACAGCAGCTGTTGTTGTTATTATACATTATTATTATTATATTTGTAATTTCATGCACAGTTTCTATAAAAATTAGATATATTTTTAGATCATTGTCCTTCAGCTCGTTTAAATTTCTCGCCGAAATAACGAATTGACGGCTAATCATTTTCCTTTTATATTCAGACCCGAAATCTCGTTTCTGTTGGAAATGATGTGCAGCCCGACATTAATTTAACGCTTCGTACATAATTTAAGGATTTGGTGAACACCGGAAATAGAACAGTTGAGCTTTGGCGCAGTGCCTCTGGGTGTACTCGGTTCTGCGACAGTGAGTCAAGCCGACTGTCACAAACCGCGCCAGAAGCTGACTCAGCGTCGACTACACGAGGTCCCAATGCCTGTAGCAGTTCCTGCATGAATTACAACGATCAGAAGCGCATAGAATGAGAGATCTTGTGTAGTCGTGTTCGTTCACATCTCTGATAGGCATATCCATTCAACGGGTTTCTATTAGATTTGACACCATATTGTGGTCGACACAAAAATTATCAGAATAATTTTATTTTGCTTTATGAGCTCAGTTTACGACTGCCCTTAAAACGGCCCCTCATAAAATTATAAGCTTTTACGTCTTAAATTTAGATAATCTTAAGATTTGTAAATTTTATTTTGAATATTTTTGTTTACGGAAACTAGAAGCCCTGTATGCAAGGACGTTATATTCAGATCTGCACGGTGTAATATTTGTCCGCATTGTTGATTAAATTTCCACGCCATAGAAACAATGAAGCTGCGTATAACTTGCTTCTATTTTTCATGACCGCTGATATCAATTTAATTTTATTTTCGGCAATTGAAAACAACAGTCGCCCATGTAAAACAGGAACAAAACAAATTGTCCTACTAGTGGTGACCTACGTTTGACTTGATGTATGCATAACGAGTCAAGAATTCATCACATTAAAGGGACATACCATTTTCGTAACCAAACAAGCGTGAAATGGACGCTGAATCACTTCACGGTATTTCAGTTCAACCGGTATGTGAGTCTGGATGTTGTACACGTCGGTAAATGAAACAAACTGAAGCTATGGCTCGAAGAACTTCTTAGTTTCAAATTATTCAGGACGTTTTCTTGAGTCCGACCTGAATTTATTGAAGTTTCAAATACAGCTTTAACTTCTTTCGATGTTCAAATATTAAAGAATTATTGTTCATATTAGAATAAGTTTCCAAGTAATTTCATATAGATAATTTGGTTAATTTATTCTCTGAGACAGAAAATAAATATTATTTTTATATTATTCTTAGTGGGGTGAGACTGAGTCCACTTAGTACTGCGGCCACTACTGGTCCGTTGTGCCAGCTCCAGATGATAGGTGATGGTGATTGTGGAGCAACTGGTGTAATGAAGATTGGCAGGGGAAACGGAAGTATTGAGAGAAAACCTGCCGCATTGTCACTTTGTCCATTATAACTCCCACATGACTAGACCTGGGTTCCACGCCTGTTGCGTGGAAGGTGCTGTCGGGGTCACTTGGACAGTGCGGTGAAGTATCTATGCTGTAGCATTCCAGTTTCCTAGCGACAGAAATTGTACGAATTATAAAGACTGCCAAATCAAATTAAATAAAATGCTGGTTTAACGTTGCTTGAGGCAGTGTTAATGATGGCCAGCTGTCACTGCAGTACCTCTAAATATGTGACTTCAGATTCCATTTCTACGGAAATCTTAAACTGCAGCTCCACACAGTCTACATATTCCTACAGCAGATTCGCGTTCTACGCCATCAATGCAGGGCCGTGCCCTAGCTCTGGCGGTTAGTCGCCGGCTTCCTACCGCGGCGGCCCGAGTTCGAGGCCAGGTAGGGTCATGTGGGATTTGTGATAGACAAAATGACACTGGAGTAGATTTTCTCCATTTACTTCGGTTTCCCCTGCAAATTCTCCTTCCACTGACTGCTCTACACTCATCATCTAGTGGCCGACGTACCAAGTGGACTCAGTCTCACCCCACCTAAGAAACTTAAAGGAAACTACGTTTAATACCGTATTTTCGCATGTATAGGGTGCACATTTTTTGCAAAAAATTCAAGAGGAAAACTGGGGTGCGGCTTATATTCGAAATATTCGAAATCACACTTCATTTAAAAAAATATATATTTCCAAATTTTGGAATAATTTCTACTCCTGAAATAATATTCCAAGAAAATTATTTTTTCCATAATTTGTCTGAAAATTGTGCTGCGGCCTATACATGCGTAAATACGGTATTCTGTCTATGAATGCCTGGAGCTCGTAATCCTATTGCGAACGACTGTTTACTGGAAATCGCAAAAAAGCGACGATTTAATGGAAGAATTTGCTCCGATCTGAAACTTCACTTACCTCATCTCGAAGTCGTGGAGCTCCTGAAGGGTGAGCGTGTTGGCCACGTCCAGTAGTTGCTTCATGTTTTCCTCCCGCTGTTGCTTGGTAACTGACAACGCCTTGGTCGAGTCCCCGCTTGTTTGCGCTGCTGTTGCAGCGGCACCACTTAGAACACCACCACTACCACCACCACTACCGGCACTGGCACTGCAATTCTTCAGCAGCACGGTTGCTATTGTCGGACTACCCCCCGTCACAGATGGCTGTTGAACCACGATCGTGGTTGCTGCAGAATGTCTTGTAGGCAACGCTGTCGCTCCCGCTATCCCAAGCGGATTTGTAGTTGTGTTCACTTTTGGCGGTGAAGCTGGGATATTTATACTGGTTCCCGCTCCTACGTTAGCCGTGACGCCTGATGACGTAGCACTCTTTTCCAACACCCCTCCTCCACAGGCTCCTGGGATAGCGGTTCCTTGTAGGACTCCCGCCTTTTTCACAAGAACCGTAGTGGTGGTTGAAGAAGTCGATGACGACGCTAAGACTACGGTACCGGTGGCGCCTCTTCCTTTGTCTGGTGTTGTGGTATCCGCCACGACGCTGTGCTGACGTATTTTATCGTCGAACGGACGTCCTTGATCGGTACTAGTGAAACTAGACTGTGAAAAACGTTCAGAGAAAAAGTCGACACGAAGGTCCGGAGGCGGAGGATGGCCCGTTACGTTGTTGCTGTTTTTGTTTCTTCCGTCGGCTTTTTGTCTGTGATGGCGGCGGCGACTAGACCGAGGTGACTTAGTTCTTGTCGTCGTGGAGGAGCCGTCTATAATGTTCCTGTTACTGTGAATAGATGATTTCAGCAAGGATATCTTCTTTGTGTCCTCGTCCATGTGTCCGGTATGCTCTTCGTCATCAACTTCGGTCCTAACAAAAATGAAATGCTGTTCTTTCGAAACCGCCCCCAAAAGTGGCGTTGGTGGTGGAGGAACAGGGTTCGAATCGTCTGTGCTTGATCCGCTGAAGAAATCGTCATCTTTCTCTAGCGATAAGGAAGTCCCGAGAATAGCCTCCATTTGGTTGATTGGTCGCTTTTCTGTTTCGGTGTCCGTGTCGCCGTCCGTCACGGTTATCATTGTAGCTACGGTGTTGGCGGAGTCCGTGCTGGTGTTGATGGTGTTGTTGGAAGAAGTTGATGTGGTGCTGCTACCCATTATCACTACTTTGGGAACTGGTTGCTGTGACGGTTGGTGTTTCTTGTTTGCACGACTTCCGCCAGCGGACTTGAAATGAAACCGCTTTATGGCTAAAGTTGCAGACGAGAATAAGTCATGATCCCCACCACTAGGTGGAGTTCCTGAAGAGGAGAGAGAGGATGAACTGGACATTGGACCCGATCGCTGGAGCACTGTCATCTTGCCCTTACTGTGCGAGCTCTTTCCAAATCCCTGTAAAGAAGAGAACAAGAAATAATTTACAGGAAAATCATATATGTATATCTACAAGACTGCATACGAATATATCCAGGATTTCATTCCGAATGTTTGTTTATGTTTAACTCAATGTTCGTAATGTTATGTAAACTAATCCTATATTTTCAGATGCTGACATAAATTTTAACCGGGTTGGTTCATCATCTTTATTCTTCCACAATTTTTCTTTCGTCATCTCAGAAGTGTAAGCGGGATTTGAACCTTGATATATCCCTGTACCTACAGGGTCGAGCAATTTTTGACGGAGAGAAATTATCATGGCAGTCAGAAGGGAAATCATAGATTATTACAGCTCCATATAATTCGAATTCCTTATACGTATCTAGCGACTGGATACAGAATGAAGGACCGATGAGTCGCAGTTCGAATACGTACCTGTAGGGTCAAGAATTTTCACTTATGTGTCATGTCTAGACCGGCTCTGTGGCACACCCAGTCTCCTATCCATTGAGTAACGGGTGTACTTTCCCCGAGGTAAAGCGGCCAGGGCGTGAAGTTGACCACTCGCCTCCAATTACAGCCGAGATCAAGAAAACTTGTGTGTATATATCCATTTCCCCATAAGCCATTATGGCGTAGTGCTTAATTATTCAAGCACAGGGACAACTTTACCGTTATACGTATATCCCGTATTCATGTCCTGAACGCCTCAGATGAGCCGGTCGAGACCAATGAACGTGATAAAATGATATAAATTCTTTCGGATGTTGGCTGCACTCCCGCCTTCAAGTTGCTGATTTTCAGCACACTGACTGGTGTTTTATTAATCCTCATTTTGGGATTAGTGGTTAGCATTCTAGCCAGGAATTCAAAAGATCCTGCATTCGATCCTAACTTAATCTTACATAAAAATTAATAAAATAATATCAGGATGATGACAACCTGAAGACAGGAGTAGCGTCAACCTTAGAAATGTTATGTACGTCAAATGCCTCAGGCAGTACAAAATGTCTGACAGCATTTGCATAACTGAGATACATTAGAATTTGATTTTTGTACGTTTGAGGAGTTCATGCTTGCTACAACAACAAATGGCAAAGCGGCAGCTATGAAGATTCCTGTCGCTGTGTTGCACCAGGCTGCACGACCCCAAAACCCAGACTTCAGCAGCCTTCATGGCACTTATCACTACAATGTATAACATACACAGCTCTTTGTGAATGCTAGAATTAACGTGGATGTTTACTACACCAAGAAAACTTACTATCATTCGAATCAAGAGTCATAGGTGACTATCAGTATCAATGTAATTTTGGACATTCACAGAGATATACATTTTATACGAACATCTTACTCATAATGCATAATTCCCAACGAGGAATGTTTGCGAAATTGTAGAGGATTCTGTTTGAATATTCTTATTATTTTTTTTCCTTGGCACTACAGCCCTAGTGGGCCTAGGCCTACATCCATGAACTCCGTACACATTCTGATTATTAAAAATAAGAAATAATATCACACTGTACGTTTTCAGCTTCTCAAATCAGAGAACATTGATATTATAGTACTCTGGTTTGTGATACTAGGTAACACTACAGGTGAATATCAGTGTTTCGGAACAAAATATTACCTCCATCTTTAGGCTATAAGTGAATTTGGTGAAGATGCAAGGCCAAACCTACAATACGACTCATTACTACAGCCCAGAAGATTATGAGGTTGAGTAGAGCATAGTCTTCACATTCATGTGTTTAACGAAAATTACCCCACTTTTTAAAAATATTTTATATAGTTATGATAAGGCATAAGAAGAGGGGCGATACAAAGAGTAGAAAGCCAACTGGAGAATGTGAGAACTCCTCTCTCTCTCTCTCTCTCTCTCTCCATATATATATATTGCCGTTCTCCTTCCTGTTCAATGTGAATCATACACAGACGTCAATACGGCGTTAGGTTGTTACTGCATTCTGCGAAAGAACACGGTGTTTGGACAGAATTCCCTTACCGGCCACAATTAGCCCGGTGAACAAGTTTCCACATGCAGATACAAGATCCAAACGTGTAGTGTGAGATATAACAACGAAGCGATAGAAACAAAAATGATTCTTCTGAACCATTTCTAGCGCCGTGCAATATTTCAGGCGGTTAGTCGCCGTTTTCCTGCCACGGCTGAGAGATTAGATCTCAGGTCAAGTCATGTGGGAATTCTGGTGGAAGAGTGGTACTGCGGGGTGAGGGGGTTCGCTGAATACTTCGGTTTACCCTGCCAATTCTCATTGCAGCAGCTGTTCCACATTCCTTGGTCCTCAAGCCGACCTACGTTACACAGACCCAATACTGAGAGAGCCATTAAACGCCTAACATAAAAAGTAGCCATATTTCTTGCAAAATCTCCACTTTTCACTAGCTCTCTCGACCGTACTTTTGAAGACTGCTCATTAAATTTCCCAGCGTAACTTTATGTCTGCAATAAAAAACAGAGGTAGATGAGGAACGTAAAGACCGTCTATGGACAACCATTTGACTCTGAAATGGAGCACTGTCGTCTTTTTGCCCCTGTTTCGGATTCCCTGTCTTAATGAGTATTCCTCTGCATGTTCGTTTTGCGACAAACATCTAACCTCATGGAGCGGGGCGGTTCTTCGGAATCTAATAGTCGCTCAGCTGATCAAATTTCCAGCATCTGATTGAAGCAAAAATTTAGGCGAAGATTTCGGTAGGTGTTAGGACGAAGCCGTCCGTGATCCACATTCTGAGCAAGAAGAATCCACTACACACATCGTCCTTAATATTATTTTCCCATCGGAAGCTAGATTTTGCGTCTGATCTCTTCCCTCATGTCTTCTGACCAATACCTGTAAGTATTTGTAATCTCTTCCATTCGTACTACATGCACTGTGCATCTCCTCCTTCATGAATTTATTGCATAGTAATACTCTAGGTTAAGCATATGCGTTACGGATCTTCTCATTATTCAACTTTGTTTAACGTTTTTCTCTTACGTCCTTTCAGGTTCAAGTGTTCTCAGCACCCCGTTCTCTGTCACCCTCCATTCATGTTCTGTCCTTAAAGTGAGATAAACAATTCGATAAAGTAATGGCGTGTATGTTTTAATCCTTACGTTTATAGACAGAAGAACAGACTCAGGCCTGAATTTTAAGAATAAATCCCTGAATGAAATTTTGATTTCTTGCCGTTTTTCCAAAATAATTTCACTTTGCTACAATTTCAAAGGGCCCTTGAAATTTCTTTGTGTTACGCATTTGGCTACGAGACATAGAGCGAGCACTATCTAGTCCTAGAAAATGTGGCTACTCAACTGCGTTCCGCCTTTAACTGTGTGGGACTCGATCTTTCTCCTCTGAATGACGTAACGCTTCAGCCACCAGCTTAGTTTGCTAGGAGCACAATACAGAAGTGGTCTAAAGTTGTTGATATGAGATCAACTGAGACATACCATGGTTTCCGCTGAAGTTGTCGCTTGTGGGGTGAGTTTGGATTAACTTGCACATTACCCACCACTTGAGAGCAGCCTGTCATTTAACATTCACTTGAGGGCCTCAGATGTGTTGCCTGACATATAAGGGGCATATCACGACTCTTTCGTTGATTAATTCACAAACAAGATGGATACTTACCGCACTAAAGCGTAAGCACAACCGTTTGAAAACAAGTTTCCATATTGTTTAACTATTACCTGGCATTCTATCTAGCTTCAATTCGAGTTTTGATTGTTTTATCTCCTCTCTTATCATATATTTACGGCATTGTGGTAGGTTGCCTGAAATTAATACAAGTATGTAAATATTATATATTTCTATAAAATGGTAAACGCGTTAGCGCAGTTGGCTACGGCACTTTGCTACAAGTCGGAAGGCCGTGGGTTCGATTCCCGATGAGGTCACTGGATTCTTCTATTTACCTAGCCCTTCCAGCCACACTATGGCCCTGGGATCGACTCAGACTTTAACAGAAATGAGTACCAGGAATCTTCCTTTGGGGTAAAAGGCGGCTGGCGCATAAGGCTGACGACCTCACCGCTATTTGTGAGCCGATTTTCTAGACTATGTGGGATCCTCTATGTCCCACAACCCTACGGCCCTCCACGGCCTGTTACAGGGGTAGCAATTTCTATAGAATTATGGAAAAGTAGAACATAGAGTAGAGAAGCCCGTCGCAACTGATACAGGCTTAATCTGAATCGCAGCGTGACTAAGCACTACAGCATCTTCTCAAGTTGTGTGCTACGATATCTACTAAAAGCCCCCGATATCTGGTTTCATTAAAATCCGGTCAGAGGCAGACAACCAGAGAGATGCGACGAAATCAATAGGCGCAGCTCTGCAAACCCGCCAAAAATCTTGGGTCCGCTTCTTATTTCGCTACTACTACTTGTATGAAAAATAATTTTAATTTAGAGAAGTGAAAGGGAAGAAGAAATGTTGTAGGATTGTGAGCTATACAAACACCGTGGATGATCGAAATGTTATTTCCAGCTTGAATGTTGAGATATTGCTGTTCACCACGACAGCCACGTGGGTTCTGTGGCTCAAGCTAACCTCTTGTGCATTGAGTTCAAGTAAACGAGCAGGAGAGACTGAGTATGAACATCCATAACGCATGTGGCTTCCTTCTAAGGCAGCGTATTAAATTTCATTCGGAATTTTCTATGGTCTCGTGAACACTGATATGAATGTAAACAAAAATCTATATATACACGTATATCCATTTCAGAGGATGGGAGTGACAGAAGGATGACGGAGGTTTGATAACATATACGCTTAGCAAAAGCTTGATAACCAGAAGGATGAAATATGTTGGGTATGTAGCACACAGGGAGAAGATCAGAAAATGAATACAAAATTTTAGTGTGGAAACATAAAGGGAAGATTCTCATTGGGAAACCTAGGCTTGTATACAGAGAATTAAAGGGGGTTTAAGAAATAATGTTAATGTGTAGACTGGATTAGCCCTTCTTACAACCAGAGGCATGAG